CTAATCCCTAAAATCAGTTATTTCTTTCTGACCTCTCCAGTTTGGTCCAGAAATGAATCCTCAATGTCTTGTCTCAGTCGTCAAATGCATATCAGATAAATGTAATTGTGTTTAAAACTTTAGTAATGAAAGCTATATTCAACTGTCCATCAGCTCAGTGCTACGTTATTTTATCATTCATGCTTCTTTTACACATTTATATGTTTATTGTTAGGAATCAACCAGATGAGTGTTCAGCCACACAAAAACAGGAACTGACTCATTTCCACTCCTCCTCGTCTTCTCATTTTGTTCATTACTGACTCTGCACATTAACACTCTGTGTGTCTGTGTCAGACATCCATAGACATCCTGACCACAGTCGTCCGCAACACCAAACCTCCCCTGTCAGAGATGCTGGTGTGCCAGGCCTTCCCTGTGGTGGCACAGTGCACCTTGCGTACTGATGACAACACAATAATGCAGGTGAACATCGGAACATGTAGGATCTGTTTAAACCTCTGCCTTTCAATACCACTCTCCTCTCACGCTTTCATCACTGCCCTCCCCTCTCCAGAACGGCGGTGAGTGCCTGCGGGCGTACGTCTCTGTCGGCTTGGAGCAGATCGCCCAGTGGAGGGACGAGCAGGGGAACAGTGGCCTCTGGTACGTCATGCAGGTGGTCAACCAACTGCTGGACCCCCGGACCTCTGAGTTCACTGCCGCCTTCGTGGGCAGGTTGGTCTCCACTCTCATCTCTCGGGCGGGAACCGAGCTTGGGGAACAGCTGGACCAGATCCTCCGAGCGATTCTCAGCAAGATGCAGCAAGCCGAGACTCTGAGTGTCATGCAGGTAGGAGGATGAGATATTATTAGTATTATATATATTATTGTGATTATTAGCAGCTGGACCTCTTATATTGTTCTGTTGAAGTTCCAGAAAACGAGATGAAATGGAAACATTGGGTCTCATTCAAAAATAACATCTTTAAAAAGATTTTCTTTTTCTTAAGAACAGTTGGTCAATGACGCCCATTGAGGGTATTTACTCTGAAATAAATTATTACCATGTCCACCTAAAATAAACATCTTCAAGATAGTTTACAATATGTCCATTATTTCATGGTCAACAATATAGTTTGGGTTTATGTGTAGTTGAGGAATTGGTTTACCTTCATTTTATGTTTATCTCTGAACTTGATCTTGATGCGCTTGTTCAGGAGTTGCTCTAATTTATGCAAATTTTAAACAGAAAAAAAGATAAACGAGTGAACACGTGGTTAAAACAGAAATGAATAATCGTTTATAACCTTGGCTTTTATTTATTGTTGCTAACGTTTTTCGGTTACAGCTTCATCAGATACAGTTATCTCCACCACCTCACTCTTTCTCGTCCCCTCTTATCCTCTCTCTCTGTTTGTAGTCTCTGATCATGGTGTTTGCTCACCTGGTTCACTCTCAGCTCGAGCCTCTGTTGGAGTTCCTGTGCAGTCTGCCTGGACCGACGGGGAAACCCGCTCTGGAGTTTGTGATGACGGAGTGGATGAGCAGACAACACTTGTTCTATGGACAGTACGAGGGTAAAGTCAGGTCAGACAACATCATATCATAATCATTTTTAAAACCCATGCAATAACATGGATTTAACCTATAGTTAGTCAAATGACCTGTGTTACAAAAGCTGTATTCTGTGATACTAGTCCTGCTTTGTAGGTGTGATGACTTTGTTTAAAAGAAATACAAGTAACTAAATATAATCATGAGAAATTCTTTCTTTTCTCTTCCTTTGTCTCATTTCCGGAACCCCTGCCGTCAATGTGGTGTTTTATTTCTTCTTGCAGCACGGTGGCGCTGTGTAAACTGCTGCAGCACGGCCTCAACACGGACGACAAACGTCTCCAAGACATCGTGGTGAAGGGAGAGGAGATCTACGGTCTTGAGGACGGCATCCGAACACGATCCAAGTCTGCCAAAAGTAAAGGACCAAAAAAACTTGTTGCTTCACTCAAATGATCTATAATGAAAAAAACAAAGCTTCTGAGTGGTGCGATAGTTGGATGATAAATGTGATAGTGATGTTTACCATGTTTCTCCTCCTCAGCCCCAGAGCGGTGGACCAACATTCCTTTGCTGGTGAAGATCTTTAAATTGATCATCAACGAGCTGTCGACAGTAGTGGAGGCAAACACCAGCCGGGCGAACGCAGGAGACTGGAGCCAAGGTGAGGACAGATACTACGAACTCAAACATGTGACTTTCTGCAGTGACACAGTGTCTCTGTAACCGTTTTCACACAGTTGGCTAAATGTGAACTGCTCAGTGTGGCACACTTTGGTTGATTTCATTGATTTATTTGTTACTGCAACATTTTTTGACTCAAATGTCTCAAATGGTGCCAATTTTAAATTAATTCTTTTGTATGTATCACTAAGGGACTCCAAGTTCTCACAGATGGCTCTGGATGCACGGTATCATACCTGAAACCTTAAAGAATATGCTGACATTTCACTCACCAGCTGTTGTTTGTTTGTTTGTTTGTTTGTTTCAGACTCCAGCGGTATGTGGGAGGGGGAGGAAGAGGGCGAGGATGACGAGGAGGAGGATGACGACGGACTAGCAGGGCAGCTGCTTTCTGATCTCATTGCCTCCAACAAATATGGTACGAGTCTCTCCACTCCTGCAATGTCTACATTTCAACTTTCAACGATGTATGTTATAGTTTGACTTCAGGTCAAAGCTTTCCCAACATCCCTTTGTTTTCTTATTACAGATGATGATTATTATGAGGATGATGATGAGGATGATCCAGACGCGTTGAAAGACCCCATTTATCAGATTGATTTACAGGTACTGTCTCTAAACTTTTCATTTCATGCATCTTTTCTCAAATGTGACCATCCGTGGGTCAACAAGGTGGATTATTAAATCAGGAGAAGCAACGTCTTCCTCAGAACATGAAGGGAAGAGGGAAGTATGGCTGATGAAGCATTTGTCTTGGTGCTAGTGAAGATTGTGTACATGATCTATTGAAGATTGTAGCATTGCCCTTCCTGCTGCTGATGAACAACTGTTACTTGATCTTGAAGTAAAGGAGTATGAAACTCCTGACCCGTGTCCGTCTCGTCTGTGCACAGGCTTACCTGACTGACTTCTTGACGCAGTTCGCCCAGCAGCCGTGTTACAGCATGTTCTCAGGCCACCTCAACAACACCGAGCGACAAACCCTGCAGTCGATAGGCCTCTAGCCCCTCCCCCCGTCCCGTCTGCCACTCCAAGACACAATCTTCCATCTACCACGCCCTGACACTCTCTTCTATTGCCCCATCGTTTATGCTCTCATGATGAATTTACAAAAAAGAAAATTGGGGGTTGTCGGTCCTGGCAGAGGGAGAGGATGGGGTGGGAAGAGACGCATGCACTTACCCATAAGTCCTCAGTTTCTCCACACACGTGACGGGATAGAGGACCTTGCAGATGAAGACGTGAGAGAATGCACAGAAGGTCGGAGGACTCATCGTTCTGAAGTCATTTCAGATTGGACGAGAGGAAAGAATAAAGCGCCCTGAGGCTTCAGTCGGACAATGATTTATGAACAGAGTATTTTGACATGTTCGGTTTGTAACTAAGCCTGTTATTTTGGTGTTTCTGTATAAATAAAATTTAATGCATCATGGAAAACAAGAGACTTTACTATTGGTCGAAGGAAAGTTGAAAAAAAAACAAATACTTCCTGCTCTTTGGAGATGGAGGGAAACGTTGGAGGCCTTATTCCAGAAAACACTGACTGTTCCTGACTTAATGAAAAGCTCTCTGGGTATGATGGAGGGTAATTGGGAATTCACACAGTTGCCATGGTGATTCACAGCCTTGTCATTCCCTTGAACCCATTGAAATTTGAGATGGAACCATTTCTAAATAAAAGTCCAGGATGGACGCACTTCCACATTGAGTTTGATTTATTTCTTGCCTCCCTGGTGTTAGAGGAAAATATTTGATCAGAATTTATTGAGCCTCTGCACCAACGACAGCTAGTGTCTGGAAGCATGATGAGTTTTCTTTACGTCCGTCCCATTCCCATGAAGGTGACATCTCTGGAACACCATCAAGGAAAACTTCCACATCTGGCACTTGAACATGATATCTAAGATCAGCTCGAGGGAATGTCTTCAAATTTGGTACAAACTTTCATTTGGACTCAAAGATAAACTGATTAGAATTTGGTGCCTGGAGGTCAAAGGTCAAGGGCACATTGACCTCACATCCCTGTGATGTGATATATTAGGTTGTGTGTTTAAATAATTGCTGAGATTTGCATCCCCTTCTTTTCTCTGACCAGATGAGTGTTAGATGTATAAAATGATATATAATGTTAACAATGTAAATATATACAGATAGTGAGTGAGCAAGACAGTAAGAGAGAGGTAGAGAGAAAGAGATAGATAGAGAAAGACAGATAGATGGATGGATAGATAGATAAACAGAGAGAGATGGATGGATAGATAGATAAATAGATGGATAGATGGATGAATGGATAGAAAGATAGATAGGTGGATGGATGGATGGATAGATAAATAGATAGATAGGTAGATAGATGGATGGATGGATGGATAGATAGATAGATATAGGTGGATGGATAGATAGACAGATAGATAGATAGGTAGGTAGAAATATAGAAAGATAGAGGGGAGATTTGCTGTGGTGCACTGATAATAGGGATAGTCACAAAATAGACATTGGTAAAAGTAATAAATAAGTAAACATGCAACATGCAAGGAAGTATACAATTGAAATTACAGTATATACACAGTGAAACTGAATATATACAGTGGAAAACATTGCACATTAGCTATTGAATTCCACAGATATGAGTGAGTATTAAATGGATAATAAACATCAAAGACAGAAAGTCTCCCATCTTTCCTTTCAACACTTTTTTTTTATTGACGTGTGAATCATTGATTCCACGAGAAGGAGTAGAAGGCATGATGGCGCCTCCCTGTGGAGAGATGGCCGCACGGCATCTGGTCCAGCAGCCGACAGCTACAACAAACAACAAGCGGCTGATCTCAGACTTTTCTGTCCTCCGAACATCCGGTGAGTCCAACCGTCACTTTACTTCTTGTTCTTCTGACATTTGTTAGAGAAGAGGTTTCACTGGTGCAGGAGAAGCTCGTGTTTGTTGTCTGTGTTTGTATTGTTGTGTATCTGAAGGAGGGTTCACTCTGTTAAAGTCTGAGAAACAGAATGATTTGAACTGATCACATTGTTTGTTGTTTCTCCCTGAACGTGTTCTTGTCTTGTTTGTTGATCTCTGGACTCTTGATTGTATCATTCAGACCTTTTCTTTTCTCATTATTTGATGATGTTGTTCTGTGTGTTTACAGACAGAAATGTTTGTTAATTCAACACGAAAAGTTTCTTTGTGGTTGAAGTTGATTCAACGTTAAAGAAACTTTTCTACAGCGTCTTTACGTGTTGAAAAAGAGTAGCTGAATTAATAAGGGTCGAGTTTTTACATTGGAGTAACATGTAGTAAATATTGTGTGACTGGGCCGACAGCCTGCTGTCACTACTGAGGATTTTAAACTCAGTGAGGATTGAACAACTATTGTTGAAGAAGGGGATTTTACATAAAGCGTTATTTCACTGTGATGCATTCAACTTCTCTGGATTTAGACAATAAAGATACATTTTTATGAAATGAAGAAGTAAATCAGGAAGTCACTTTTGGAGGGAAACTGTGAAGGCCTCACCTCAAGGCCTCACCTGCAAAAAAAGAAGATCCCAGTTCCTTTGGAAAAAGGAGTTTGATCAGAATTTTCAAGTTCTTTCGCTGACTTCGCTCACATGTTCGACTTCAAGGTGAGTTTTAAATCCTTAATTTGAATTTTATTTTTGAATGGGAATAATTTGAGTTGTTTTGTTTACAAACACATCGAATTAAATTCAGTACAACCACTTGATATCAGGAGAGATGTTAATTAAAGGTGAACAAATGAAATTATGAGTAATTAATGTTCCACAAGTGTTGTTGAGATTTCACTGAACTCGTTTGATTTGCAATATTTTGGCTTTTCATATGTTTGATATTCTATGTCATTTTTTAAATTATATTGTAAGATGCTGTCGGTGGCTTTCAAAAACATTCATTACTTCATTCATCAGGCTGATGAAATGGTTGATGTAATGATTCAATATCTTTTTACTCGATGAAAAATATGACACCTTGTCTCCCTGTTCTCATTCTGCAGGAATGTGACTCCAGAGCTACACAATCCAGATCTGCTACTCGGCTCCCATTTATTATACATTATTATCATGGTAACTTTCTCTTATTGGTGCTGCTTGTTGTTGTTGTTGTTGTTGTTGTTGTTAGCACACTCCAAGCACCTCCTCCATTTAATTGCATTTTATTTTCATAGCACCGCAACAGCACATAAATTGTTTCAGTGAACTCTTGGTGACATTTGACAGGAAGAGATAACTGTTGTATTTAAGCACTATGTACTTTATCATTTGTCATTGCTGTAGTGCACCACGGACACCACCGACACACTGGCGTATGGCCTCACCCCAATTATTTTAATTTTGACTTTTAGTTGGAGATAGAAAAGATACGTTTTTACATCTTACTTTATATTTTACTTAAATGTTGATGCAAATACTAATACAAGCTTTGAATAAAAGTAGTGGTGGGGCTACTATATGAATTGTAGTGAGATGAGGGGATACATTCATCTTAGAATCATTTTACTCTTGTAGCTGGTTAACTGTTTTATATTCTGTTGGGTAATTAAAACTAAATGGTGTGTGTAAAATATAAATATGTAATGTAACTGGAGTAGAATTGAATAGCCGACCAAAGTACTTAAGTGAAGGTACGTGGGTAAATGAATCTAGTGATTTAATGTGATTCTGCTTCTAATTCCCCAGCTAAACAAGTTTGCAGCTGTTCTGCTACTGTGGGAGAATGAAGATGATGAAGAAGAAACTTTATATGCTGCCTTTTTCCAAAGGTCAGTAAGATCCACAGTAACAAAGATTAAAAGGGACAGTTGACATGTTTCGTTAGGACTGATGGGACAAGCAGGAAGTGAGAACAGGACAGTGGATGTTTTGTTCACCTGGTGACAGTGATTTGTTCCAATAATTCAATTCAAGCACAGTGAGCTGAAAGACTCTGAGCTCAAATTCAATCTGATCATGTAACACAGTCACAGGCTGCTCGTCTTCAATCACTGCATCAAGTTCTCCTGACTCAAAACTACAGTCTGTGTGTTCCAAGCAGTTATCAGTTCTTCATACATGGTTCAGCAGTGAGTTATGGATCAGTTTGACATATTATGTGAAAGTGACATGTGTACGTATACGTAGATATATATATGTATACATGTGTATCTTTCGTTCATTGGGAACACCCCTCCAGGGATCCTTTTGACCTCTGACCTTGTGGAAAAATTATGAATGATTATAATTTTG